AACCGGGGATTAATTTCACTTGTGAAATGCAATTATAAAAGGGACAATTTTATCAAATGAATGTTTAATAAAATATGGGGTAACTGGCAAAAAACGTCCCTACCTTTTATTTTTGGCATTTTTGCTCATATTTCCATATTTCTTTTCGTCGAAGGTCCTTTTCACTGTTTTTTTGGTGTAAAATGACCAATATGCCCTCCTCTTTAAATAAAAGAAAAAAGAAAAGAAAGAAAAAATTGCAACTATAGGCAAAACTTCTAAAAAAGTGCAAATGCTCCCTCAAACTTCACCTTCTTCCCACACCTTACCCCCATGCCACCGCCACTTGTCGGCCATTTTCAGCCACCTTTCGGTTAGCTTGGTAGCCGGACCAACATACCAACTTGAAACTCTCACTTCTCTCTTTACAACCTATCCAACCACTGGTCGAAAATTTAAAGGAATTGATCGAAAAATTACAACAAAATTGGCTGCTTACGCAACATGAAACGGCCAAAAATGGAGGCCGAAAATTCCATATCCAACGATACCCATGGCACACCCATCCTCTAGGTCGATTATGCTCCTCATTGCGCTCCTATAGATGTCTTCATATCATCGAACAAAGCTGAAAATCAAAATCTACAGCCAGAAAATCGGAGTTTGCATTCGATCGGTAGTTCTTGAGTTCAATCTTGAAAATTGATCGTTTGGTTGATGAATGGATGCAATTGATGGAGGACCCATAGTTGTGACAACATTAGTTGACGATTACATGCTAGAATTAGTTGATTGAAGCCTTGTAGCATCATCAATTGAAAGGGGATCAGCCGAGTTTCTTTGTGTACGAATTGTCGAGGTTGTTTCTACAATTTCTGGCCAAAATTGACAATGACCCATAGGTTCATTAGCTTCGCTTAAAGAGGCGGTGCTAGAAGGGGTGGTCCGCAATCGCTGATCGTGACACTGACGACGAAAAATGTGTTTGAAGTTGTCGATTTCGCTGTTGAAGAAATCGCCTGGTTCTACAATTTTTGGTTAAAATTGACGATGACCCATAGGATCATTAGGTTCTCCTTGAAGAGGCGGTGTTAGGAGGGGTGGTCCGTCGTCGTCGAACATGACGCCGGCGTCAAAAAATGGAGTTGAATATGTCGATTTTGCTGTTGAAATTGCGTGGGCAGCCTATTTTGGCGCGACTTTTCGATCAATTTCTTTATATTTGCGGCCAATGGTTGGGTGGGTTGTGAAGATGAAAGTGAGGGCTTCAAGTTGGGATGTTGGTCCGACGGCCAAGCTGACTGGAAGGTGGCTGAAAATGGCCAGCAAGGGACGGTGGTGTGGAGGTGAGGTGTGGGAAGAAGGTGAGGTTTTTC